TAGACGTCTATGGGAGCAGAGGAGTCGCCCCCTGCTGGTCACTACAGAGAAGTAGAGTCATTTCCTCATAGACGTCTATGGGAGCAGAGGAGTCGCCCCCTGCTGGTCACTACAGAGAAGTAGAGTCATTTCCTCATAGACGTCTATGGGAGCAGAGGAGTCGCCCCCTGCTGGTCACTGCAGAGAAGTAGAGTCATTTCCTCATAGACGTCTATGGGAGCAGAGGAGTCGCCCCCTGCTGGTCACTACAGAGAAGTAGAGTCATTTCCTCATAGACGTCTATGGGAGCAGAGGAGTCGCCCCCTGCTGGTCACTACAGAGAAGTAGAGTCATTTCCTCATAGACGTCTATGGGAGCAGAGGAGTCGCCCCCTGCTGGTCACTACAGAGAAGTAGAGTCATTTCCTCATAGACGTCTATGGGAGCAGAGGAGTCGCCCCTGCTGGTCACTACAGAGAAGTAGAGTCATTTCCTCATAGACGTCTATGGGAGCAGAGGAGTCGCCCCCTGCTGGTCACTACAGAGAAGTAGAGTCATTTCCTCATAGACGTCTATGGGAGCAGAGGAGTCGCCCCCTGCTGGTCACTACAGAGAAGTAGAGTCATTTCCTCATAGACGTCTATGGGAGCAGAGGAGTCGCCCCCTGCTGGTCACTACAGAGAAGTAGAGTCATTTCCTCATAGACGTCTATGGGAGCAGAGGAGTCGCCCCCTGCTGGTCACTACAGAGAAGTAGAGTCATTTCCTCATAGACGTCTATGGGAGCAGAGGAGTCGCCCCCTGCTGGTCACTGCACAGAATGCAGCTTTCAGGGTCGTTTCAGGTTGCAACTGAAACGAACGGCGTGAACGCTCCCTGCAAGCATGTGGTTCTTCTTCTTCTTCTTCTTCTCACCTCCTCTCTGTCTTTCTCTCCCGCCTCCTCCCAAATCACGTTGCGTGAACGCCTCCCCCTCCTCTTCCTCCTCTCCCTCCTCCTCTCCCCGCCTTTTTCCTGCTTGTGTGTGTGTGTGTGTGCGTGTGCAGATGGCCCACCTGGTGCAGGTGAGGAGTCACGGTCTGTCCGGCTCTCAGTCCCTGTACGACCCCCACGGCGTCTCCTCCTCGGCGTCGCCCTCCCCCTCCCGGCCTCCCATGCCCCGGCAGAACTCCGACCCCACCTCCGACACCCCTCCTCCCCCGACCCTCACCCGCCTGGCGCCCCCCCTCGACAAGCTGGACCGCAGCTCCTGGCTGCGGCAGGACGACGACATGCCGCCCAAGGTCTCTGCATGCCCCCACCTGTGTGTTTGTGTGCGTGTGTGTGTCTTTTATTCTTTGTCTGAACTCTGGTTTTGTGTCTTTTTCAGTTTTTGGGGCTTTGTGTGTCTGTCGCGAGTTTCTCCTGATATTTTGTTTATAGAACACAATATTTCTGATTTCATTGGTTTTAATAAAGTAAAATATATATTTTAATTATAACCCTGTTAACTGCGGGGCATTAACTTAATTCCTAAAAATCTCAACCTAATATCTTAAACAAATACTATATATTAAGTATCTAGTTTGATTTAAATTCAAACCAGATTTAATTTTATTAGTTTATTTATTATATATAGTTTATATTATATTTATGTTCATATTTATTGTTATTATTGGATTTGTTTATAAATTGTATAATAATAAAATCCAATATGAATTCAAACTTGAGACCTTGTAAAGAGGAAATATCATTTTACTTGCAGGCCAGAACCTCTTCATGTTTCTCCAGTTCTGTCAAACAGGAAGTCCGCTCTGAATAAAATCAACGAGTCAACACACTGACGCACGCACACACACATTTACACAGACACACACACACACACACACACAGACAACATGCAGACGGCTCTGCTGTGTGTGTTCTCCAGGTTCCTCAGAGGACGACCTCCATCTCTCCTGCTTTGGTCAGAAAACACTCACCTGGAAACGGACCGGGCCTCGGGCCTCGAGCCGGAGCTCACCTCATACGGGCCAGGTACACACACACACACACACACACACACACACACACACACACACACACACACACACACTCACAAAGTCACACACAGCTATGGGAGGAACTCCGGGGTCGGGGGTTTCAACAGTGCTGTTGGTGTCATTGTTGTTGTTTATTGACACCTCGCCGTTTTGTTTGTGTTGCCTCAGCAACCCCGACCTGAGGAGGACCGACGTTGCCATGGAGACGCCTCTGAAGAGGACGAGCAGCGGCAGCTCCTCCAGCTCCAGCAACCCGAGCTCCAAGGGAGGCTCCAACGAACGAGGTGACCACGCACACGCACACACACACACACACACACTTATACTGCTCCTCGTCACAACCCAACGTTTGTTTTGTGTTCCCCAAAATGTGTCAACTTTCACTTATTAAAAGCTTTTGCGTGTTCAGGTAATTCAGCCGCTCCGACCGAAGGATCAACTCCTTCGGCCCACGAGACCAAAGAGGACGGCAGAGAGCCGACGCGACCCAGCAGGCCTGCAGTGAGTACACACACACACACACACACACACACACTCACACAGACTCACACATGTAGAGACACAAACGTTTGACTAAATTACACTTAAACAGACAAACACTCTCTGAACTAACATGAACTTCATGTTCACTCTCTTCCTCCTCTTCCTCTCTCTTTGGCCTCCTCTTTCTTTTCTCCTCTTCGTCCCATCCTGTCCTCCATTCCTCCTTTCATCGTCCTTCAGAGTTATAAGAAAGCTGTAGACGAGGTCAGTGATGTTCTCCCCCCCCCCTCCCCTCTGGTTTCCTCCCCCACGCTCACCTTTCCGTTCATTCCTGCTGCCTACAGAGGAAAACTGACGATTGATTGACGGGTGATTCATCTCATCCACTTCCTGTTGTCATTTACATCCTCGTGTCTCACGTTTCATCTGGTGTCACTTTCTCTCTTCCTCCCTTTTGATCTCCTCTCATCAGGAGGAGTTGGTAAGATAATCTCACCCCTCCTTGTCCCCCTCCTCTCACATGCACACCCCCTTTTTGCTGATGACGGCCCTCGTGCACTGAGGCATGACCCCCCCCCCATACAAACAAAATAAATAACAGCTTGTGCCACAAATCGTACAAAACTTTTATTTGTATCCCCTGCTTGTTTTATATATATTTTAAGCTGCATATTCTCTGATTGTAAAATTATTTCAGTAATTAAGTAAAACCAATAAAAATATATTGAAATCAAATATGAAATGTATTCAAAGTATAATTATATTAAATATATCAAATGTATGAAATGGTTGGTTA